ATTCCTGCTCATCCATTCCTACACTTTTGCAACCTTCTGTTCCCAAAATAACTCTTGTGCATGCCTCCCGCTGCTTGCCAAGTAACTGTCAAGTAATGCAAAGACAAGTTTTCAGCATTCATGGTTGTAGCAAACCTCTAGCAAATCCTGGTCTTTATTTTTGGATAGGAATGCTTTGATTTATTATCCGCTACCCTTAATTAGCTTTTTAAGTTTGAACATGAGGGATCAACAACATAAGAGAACAAATACACAACTGGATTAATGCAGTTACAGCTAACTCTACCTTTTAATTCTGATACAGGAAGCTTTTAATATGTATAAAAAGGTCTGGTAAATTTGGAGGACGGGAGAGAAAGTTAGCTTTATTAATTCAGAAGCAGCAAAAGGTTAGTGCTAATCTTTACTTTAGTCTGAAAAGTATGCATATCAGTGTTATAATTTAACCGAGTTTTTTTTTTTCTTTTTTTCCCCAGCATTAAAGAGTCTTAGGAATTCAAATGTTAAGAAACTTCTGAACTTTAAAAACTACTGAAATACTATCTCAAACTCTATCTTTTGTATTCTATTTTTCTTTCCAAAGAAAGATTTTAAGTTTCACTAACACATCATTCACTAGACAATCCTGACTAGGAAGAAACTGAATTTCTAATATAAAAACAGAACAGAGGGCTGGAGGACCATCTTAGAAATAAAGAGACCATGCCATGCTTTATTAGACATCTTCATACTTCGTGAAAAGAAATTGTATAGCTTTATTCTTTGTGAATAAAGCATTACGTGACCTCCAAAATGCTGTCAAGTGTTGATTATACAATAACATGATATGCATCAAGAGAAACTTGCACACACTTTTCTGCTACAAACTACTGAAAAAGTACAGTAGGTTAAAAATAAGCTTTATATATTATCCTTCAAAAATAGCATTAAGAGACAAATACCCATTTGAACAGTTAAAACCACTCTTCTCAAACTGCGATCTCTTATGTCTGCAAAGTCATAATGCCATTAACTCATTTTAATTATGAACACCCTGTAGTTTCATCACACTTCGTGAGAAATGCTCAATCAGGGCTAGTTAGCTATCCTCTTTTTTTTCTTTTCTTTTTTTTTTCCTTTTTGTGTTTCTGTTTTTAAACCTTTCAGAGGACTAACAGTAAACCTTTTAAATAGCTATCTGTAATACAACATTTTGCAAGCCTTATGGAAGCTTTGAAAATTTGAGAGCACAGGGTCAGAAGCGAGTTCCAGGTTCTTGGAAGCCTGTATCGATATACAGAAAGGACACAAACAGGAACTAGGAGGCAGAAAAAGAAACTTGAATCTCTTGAAAGAGACCCACCTGCTTTCTTAAGAAGTTTAGTATTTTTGCTGGCTGAGAAATAACAGCGTCTTCTGATATCAAGACTGGTACCTCTCCTAAAAGGCACAAATAATACAGTCATCAGAACTTACGTGTAAGACTTCTAACGTAACTGGACAAGGATTAGTTGCTTCACCTATCTCCCTTCTCTCCACAGCATGCTCTCATCTTCCAGATGCATATGCATAAACTAAGTTTTATGGTATTGTGCTGTTAATTTAACTAAAAAGGACTAAAAAGGACATCAAATCAGACTAAAGTCGATGTCATCTAGCAGATTATTGATACTTTGCAAACCAGGCTAGTTATCTGGACTTCAGATATCCATCTTAAATTAGGAAAAAACAACAACAACAACAACAAAAAAACCACCACAGCCCAGTCCAACCCCTTACTCAACTCACTCACCCCCAGGCCAGTCCTTTCATCCTTTTTGCTTCCTGCCCTTCCCTTCCAAATCCATTTTAGCCACTTGTTTTCTCTTCCCTTGCTACAACCACTGTCCAAACTACCAGCAGAGACCCCAAATAACTCCCTTCCCTAGAGGCATCCTGCGCTGCTGCAACTGATTGCAGGAGCAAGCAGTGTAGACTGAAAACCCTCTGAAAGAGGGGCTGTCTTATACACATGGTGCATTCACTTTTCACAACGAGCCAAACATGACTGACAACTTTACTAGCACATAGAAGCACAAATACCAGCAACCTATTATTTGGATTTTTGGGGGTATGGATTTCACGTATTTTGACTATCGAGAAAGCCAGCAGATTTCTGAGAGCCTGTTATGCCTAGTTAGTTCTTGGTATTTTCTGCTAGCAACAAAAAAATACACTAAAGAACAAAAGTCAAAGGCCCAAATTCTGTGTGGACACAGTAATGCCTAAATTGAACATGTGGTAAGTATTAACAGAGTACTTTAAACTTGCCGTGATTTTATCTTTCTGGAATACATCTAGACAAAAACTGTGTCACAGAGCCAACAGATAAGTAATAAGCATCCAACTTTTCCTCTTTCAGTACCTTATCTTGAACCTCTCTGACAACTACATGGTGAATTGCCTTTTATAATTCAACTTGTCCAGCTAAGCGCAGTAGTTAGGATCCCACTGATACACGCTGTGCTCCTTGAGACTCACTCTCAACTTTAAACTGCATCAGCCTTTTAAGTTTTGCATAATTAAAAATATCCTATTTCCATATACACGTCTATTTACTGTCATTATAAACATGCAAACTGCAGAAAGCTTAAAAGCTTGTTTTGCTATACCACCTATTTTGACTGTGACAGGAATAGCTGTAGAGCTAGTATTATGCACACACAGTTTACGCAAAGTGTCCTCGGGGCACTTAATCTATGCCTTTCCAATATTTTATTTCCATAAAATCATCACACTTGATCTTGTAAACTCATTTAGACACAAGAAGCCCAGCGTGGAGCAGGTTGCTCACGTACACAAAACCAAAGGAAACCCTGAAATGACTCTGAAACTTGAACCTACATTTATAAAGTGACGAGTTGTTTTTTTTAATTAAAAAGAAAAAAAAAGGCAGACCGTGAAGAAGAAAGGGTACCTTTTGGAGCTTTCCAGGACTTATTGATGGCATTCACTGTCAGGGGAGCACCAGTAAATTTGGCATAAGCCTGGAAGGTTGCAGAGAAATAAGTAATTAATAAATAAATCGGGAATGGAGCCCGCCAAGGCGGCTGTGAAGCGGCGCTCTGCGGGCGCTGCCCGCGGCGCTCCCGCCCTCACACCCGTTAACCACGTTCACCGGCCGCCCGC